CTTTTGGCAAATTGTCTGTTGGTGATACCAACATTGTTGGGTGTTTTAGTAGTGTGTGTGTATATATACACACACACACACACACACACACATAATAATAGCTGGTCACTCGCATTCAAGGATACCTGTCTACTAGGGCAGCTAGTCAATCCCTATTGAAGACAGTCGCTCAGGCACATTTGTGTATGTTCAACATTCACAGAGCCCGCCTTTCGTTTATAATGCAACTATACTGAGCAGACATTAGTTACAGTTTCTGGTAGAGAGAGCATGTTATCTAGCATGATCAACAATCTGAACAAGGCCAACACACTCAAACCCTCAGTCATGATGAGTTGTAACTTTGTGCTAGCACAGCTATCGACAGCTCCACTATGTTCCGTCTACCCAATTTCACTCACAAGGCTTGGTTCAACCCGTGGCATGGTTTTTAAGCATTTTCCAAAAGTACCACATGCGGGTATTGTCCCTTTCTAGACTGATAACATACATACATTATATTTGAAAAAGTAATTTTACATATTATGTAAGTTAAAACAATGCTAAATTAGCCACCTTCTGGCAGGTAGCCATCCTGGATAAGACGTTAAACTACATCCAGCAGCAAGACCTCTGATCAGGAGGTTTTGAGGAGCGTGGAACCACCTCTTAATTGCTGGTGTTCCCAAGTCAACCCTGACCCGGGGTGGTAGCACCTTTTAGGGTCCCAGATATGGGCAAATAGTTAACTATTACCAGCAATACTTTTGAAAAAAAAAAAAAAAAAAGTTATTACCAACAATACTTTTTTTTTTTAAAAAAAAAAAAAAAAAAAAATTTTACCAGCAATACTTTTTTGAAAAAATTATTACCACAAACAGATTTTTGACAAAACAAAATATTACTAGCAATAAAAATTTTTGTCAGCATTAAATAACCCATCGAAAAACAAAATAAACCAAACCAATCTAAACCAAAGAATACATATTCTATTCACATGAATCTATCCTAAAAATGTTGTCGGCATTAAATAACCCATTGAGGTTGATATGCCATAAAACAAAATAAACCAAACCAAACTTTCTGGCAGGTAGCTGTAAAATGAAAATTAGCCTGGTTACTAGTTATCCATGATCAATACAATATTTTCCCACTGTATGAGTACTAATGTCAGAAATACACTGATGCATGCAGTAAGATCTAGAGACACAAGATTTTTTTGTTGTTGAAAACCTATATAAGAAAAAAATTTGTACACACATGCACACATATCATTTTGCATTTCTCTGGGTGTGCAAAATAAATTCTCTTTATTTTAGCTCGTTATCATATTACATGTACATATTCCATGATACAGATCAAACTTAGTCACTCCAACTTCTGTGTTATTATTGTGACTATCGCCTTACTCCCACTCAAAAAATTCATTTGCTCTGATGCAACCAATAGCATCGGTGGATTTCTCTCAATAGATAAACAAATCCAAACATTCTTTTTCTTTTCCATCTCACAAAAGTGGGAGTGTCTTCCTTATAATTTATTCAGCATTTCATCAGACCAAGTTGCAAGGACTTTCCAATTTGAAACAAGAAAGTGAAATCAACTTTTTCAAAACGAACTTTTCCCTGTGTTTGGCTAGAAAGAAAATATAAAATCGGAAAAGACCAAAAATGAATTATTGCGACCATATTTGGACTTGTGCTGCTCAATCCTCAATTTCCAGCTTTGACAGGGTTCAAAAACAATTACATAGCCTTGTGGGTGATGAATTATTTTCCCCCTACAACCTCTTTCCCCACATATGAAGCATTGCAAGCCTCTTGTTTCTTTATTGCTATTTTTCATAGATGTTCAGACAAGCTATATTCATTCCTTGGTTCCAACAGTCACAGCTAGGACCTGCCATGCCACATACAGTTGCTTTATCCTCATTTTCCTCATATTCCATTAGTGAGGAGGAAGTTCGACTCACACAGGTTCTTCCTGGAACTTATTTTGTGGAACAGATTCCTGACAGGATGGTTCCCCAATCACTATGATCTTAAACTCTTCAAGTCTATGCTCAACTCTTATCTCCTATATATTCTCATAATATACACATCTTACTTCCTCTTTTTATGCATTTATTACAACAACTTCATTCGGTAACCCACTTGAGTGGCTCTTGGACCTTTTATTGAGTGAAAAAAATTTAAATTAAGGCACAAAAGCTAAAGAAACCCCCCCCGCCACCTCATAGTATCCAGTGCTGAGTTGGTCTTCTTTCATCTCTACCAAATACCCACCTACTTTCTAACTTTGTATTAGTAAATATAAAATGGAAACGTATTCACTATTTCTTTCCCTATAAGTGTAAATTAAACCTAGCATCAGGTTTCATGTGGAGATAAGGGGTGCACATGATTGTGTGGGTAGATATTATCTAAAATCCCTCAGATTTGCCTTTTGACATGCTACAACTATCAAGGAAAGACTTGCCCTTCTTCAAGCAATAAGAAGGTAATACCTGAGGATATTGGATCCCCTGGAACTAGACTTATATTTAAGACAAGAAAATCCCCCAAAACGAAAATTATCCAAAAGACATGATCATTCCATATTCTAATATTCACAATTTTTCTTTAAAAAAAAAAAAAAAAAAAAAAAAAAAATTTAGATGTTAGTTTTAGAAGCAATATTAGTGTGGCAGCTGATTGATATATAAGGGAAGGTGGGTATGTCACCTAACACCTATTATATTCACTCCACCTCCAAACAAGTAGTTTCTTTGTTTTTCTTTAGTTGTTTTACTATTAGTCACAAATATTGTATACATTTTTAATGTGTTTTGTCATTACTTAAATCATTCTTAACATTTATTTTTTTTCATGCACACTTCACAATATGTAGATAGAACAATAATGGCAGAAAACTTCTAGGCTCTAAACATTGAAAAGTCAAATTAAGATTAGCGGGAGAAAGAATAGAGAATAGTAATAATTTAAACGGATCAGCCTAGAGAGTTGAGAGAAAATCTAGAGAGTAACAGAGCCATGATTATATATTTATATATATATATTTCCCCCCACTGAACCAAACCCTACAGTATGACAATTAGTAGTTTTTAGCCCACCCACAGGAGTTTTTTTTTTTTTTTTCTTTGCCTATTTTCTTTTATGTAAGTGTGGTTATCCATGGGCTTTTATTGGAAAAATACTTTAGGCTGAGTCACGGTTGATTTAAAACTCACCCCTCCCTTTCATTTCTGTTCAAGTCATTTAAAGGTCACATGAGTGTAAAACTATGGTTATGACTAGAGCCATCCTTTCATAGGATTTAATGTTAAGTGTTTTTGCTCATTGTAGGTAATCTAGGGTTTGAGCACTTTACTGAGTGGGTAGGTTTGGCTTTAGGCCTTTATTCTTTTTTCCGTATTATTGTTTTTGTTTGAGATGTTATCTGGATAAGAGTTTTAGGTAAGTTGTCCTTTGGTTCCATCAACATTTTTTTTTTTATATTTATATATATATATATATATATATATATATATATATATTATATATAAAAAAAATAGACAACTTTAAGGTTCCATTATAATAATTTATTTCACCAGAGCCCTTTTAAAGGACTCTCGATCATCAGATAGCACTTCCAAAAGATGAAAACCTCTGATGATCCAGAGTTATTTAAAAGGGCTCTGGTGAAATAAATTATTATAATGAAACCTTAAAGTGGTCTGTTTTTCATTAAAATATTAGCTCTGGATTTACATTGAGCTCTCAGGATTTCATCCTCCTTGGGACTACCCATATGGATTACCAAGTTTTTCATAACATATACATATATATTACAAATAGGAAAGTCTAAAGTGTCTGGCTTGAGATATTTGGAAAGCACATAAAAGGTAACTGACATAATAAAATATCTCCACAAGAGATACATCAATCAAGTTCATCCATGAAACAGAAAATGGATTGGAAGTGAAGCATACTTGACTGCCAAAGAAAAAAAAGCCACAGTACTCCTAAAACACATAACACTGAGAGGTGGAGGGGTGTTAGAGAATTAAATAAAGATTATACCTTTAATACAGAGGTGTTGGGCACTCTTGCTCAAACCATGAGATTACATATCCATTAAACCAAAGCTACTTGCTTGTTACTTAGTGTGAGCAGAGAAGAACATGGGCACAAAGACAAGATGACACGAATATCAGTGGCAAAGAAAACAAATCTTGTATATGTACCAAGAGAATTTAAGTAGGGCATTAAAAAGTATATGCAGAGAAATTTTTGTTTTAATCATTTCACCCAAAGCAAGGCAATAATGCCACTAATACACCAGGGGTTAATGAGTGTTATGGAATACGAAAAAAAAAAAAAAACACTATTAAAGAAAGAGAACAATAAAAGAAGAATTAAGACAGAAGATAATGATTGACATTGATCTTCAAAAATTCAAATACAAAGCAAGAAGCCATAGCAGAGTTCTACAATCGATAAATGTGAGAAAAGAAACTGTTAACATAAAACTTACAGTTACATTTAGCCATTTCAACTGTAAAATGATGAGACCTAGCTGCCAATCTAGTACTGCGCTTAAATTCATAAAGTGTAGGTACCATAGAGGAAAGTTCATCAGAACAATTACCATGAAAGTACTTATTGAAAAGGCACAGGGAAACTACGTTACATTGGTGGAAAAGTGACTGGAGCCAAGATTCCAGGTCTGAACTAATAACATTGCAGGTTTTGGGATTTTATCAAGAATCTCTAAATATATAGCAGGAGCACAGGATTCATTTTTTATAGCTAATCAAAATGTTGCAGATTATTTAAAACCAGAAAATTTTTACAATGTAAGAATTTCTTTTTTTGAGATAATAATGGTTTTTAGTGATACAAGTTTTGCTAATTAATCCATAGATGGATGGAAGGAGACAAGGTGGTCTCCTAGCTTTCACAAATCAAATGGGAAATCGAACTCAGCTCTCCAATTAAAAATTCCAAGCCATTATACATTACACCACCCACACATCCAAGCTTACAGCACCTGGCATTCCCAAGAAGTCACCCATCTCAGCACTGACCAGGCTAGAAGTTGTTTAACTTCAGTGATCATATGAGAACCAGTGTTTCAATGTCTTATGTTCGTAAGCTCCAATAATCATATGCTGAAGTCACAAAAATCTATTGTAAGAATACATCTTCAATCCAACACAAAAAATTTTAATGGCAGAGTGTTAGAATTATTTTATTTTATTATTAGTTATTGTTGTTAATCTCTTATTGTGCCTAATAAGATCTACGGTAAGAATTAGTTTTTTTATGCATCACAGTATATTGTTATAATTGTTCTGTTTTATTATTTGCTAATCTTTTATATCATGTCTAATTTATAAATTAGAATTCATAGATTTGTATGTATAAGAAGTTCGATACTATTGTCAATTTTGTATATAGACTGGATTTCTTGGAACATCACCATAGCACAGATAAGGTGGGGGAACTACTGTATTGTTTAAAACTTATGCCACCTTCAAGAAATTTAGGTTAAACAAAATTAGACAGATGTGACATTTTAATGATCATATACACATAACACCACCTTAGCCCAAAGCAATAAAAAAATAGATTATAGGCCTGCATAATGGCTCTGTAAATAGATTATTTCCAATGTAGGGCACTCTCTTAATATTGCCTTGTGCCAAACTAAACAGAGCTTATAAGCCTGCATAGTGGCTTGTTTATATTTTCATATTTTTGTAAATCTTACTTATTATAAAATGCAGATTGTGTGTGTGTGTGTGTGTGTGTGTGTGTGTGTCTGTAACGTTTATATATTGGATCGGATTTCCTACATTTTTCAACCGATTTCAACAAAACTTCACAGGACTACATAAAATTACTTTGTGGTGGTTCTAACAGTGCCAAAAATGGGAAAAATATAATTGTTTTTGCACAAAATCAATTTGAAAACACGATTAAGAGACATCGTGAAAATGGAAGGGGGACAACTCACATCGGATTTCCTATATTTTTCAGCCAATAAAACAAAACACTTTTTTTTTTTTTGGCAGGTAGTGTTTCTTTTTCTCTTGCACACTTTTTTCTTTATTTTTAACATTCAGAATGCTTTAAAAATTCCATTTACAAGACAATTATTTATAATAAAATTCTATTCAATCAGTAGACTCATAACGATTGAAAACAATGTTTTTGTTTGAGTTTGACCAATTCGTAAAAAATAAAAAAAATAAAAACTAATTAAGACATGCGTGTCCGTCAACCTTAAACAATAATCTAACAATCTCTACTGATTGTACGAATACAAACATCGGATAAATTCTTTATCTTTAGGGAAAGATAATGGAATCTAAACATACACAAGTCCTAACTAAAAATAATAACTGGAATGGGAAACTACTTTAAATACACATGGTGTTCAATTTTTTTACTGTATTCAATAAGTAAAAATCATAAATTGTAAAAGATTATTATTACAGAAGGCTACTAAATGAATAAGATTTGTTAGATCATAATTAATAAACCCAAATAAAGTTAATATTTTTTGTATTAGAAACAAGTGGAAAATATATTCAAATCAGAATTCCAATTATGAATCACCACAAGCAAAATATGCAATTTTTTTTTATTGTATTCAATAAGTAAAAATCATAAATTGTAAAACTAAAAGATTACAGAAAGGCTACCTACATTTTTCAACCGATTTCAACAAAACTTCACTTTTTTTTTGGCATGTAGTTTATTGTCTTGCACGCTTTTTTCTTTATTTTTACATTCAGAATGCTTTAAAAATTCCATTTACAAGACAATTGTTTATAAAATTATTCTATTCAATCGGGAGACTCATAACGATTGAAAACAATGTTTTTGTTTGAGTTTGACCAATTCGTAAAAAAAAAAAACTAATTAAGACATGCGTGTCCGTCAACCTTAAACAATAATCTTTGTCAATTTTATTTTTCAGTCTTTATGATGGTGGATACTTGATCTATCTCTTACTGTTATATCCCTGGGCAATGCCGGGTTCTACTGCTAGTCAGTATTAAAGTCTAAATAAATTCACCATCTTGAATCATTTTCAAATTAAGAAGGCTCTTATTACAGAAACTGATGCAGCACAATCTTCCATGCTCTCATATCAGTCACCCTATACACTGTATATTTGGAATGTGCAGTAAAATTTTTTTTTTTTTTTTTAGTCAAGCAGATGAACCACTAGGTTTGTATTTTATTTTTTTTGTTTCATTTTTTAACAAAAACTTTTTTTTTTTAGGGTGCAGGGACAGGTATTTTTCACTTTGACATTTGAAATAAATATTTAATCCAGGTTTGAATTTTGGTATACCCACACAATTGCACTGAACCAATACAGAGGATAGAATGCACTTTCATTGCAGAAGAATTTTTAACAAGTTAGAAAAACATTTTGATGTACGCTATGTTCATCATGCATTACAGAAGTAATTGTTCAGACAATATACTTGCTCAGCAGTTAAGAAGAACATTTAACTTGACAAGCTTAATTAATCTATGTTAGGGAAGAAGAAAAAAAAAAAAAAAAGAAAAAAGGCTGCTCAAGAATATACCAAAAGTCAAAAGCCAGGTTACATTCAGTCACACAGGCTCATCTTCCTCCATTCCACATATTAGACTTTCAACTGATAACAGTTGTATAGATTTTAGAAGCAAATGAAATCTGTATTTGCTGACCAATCAGAATGTGGGTAACCTTGCCAGTTTACTGTAAAAGGCAAGAAAGGTTAATCTAAGTAATTTGGATTTTGCAAGTAGGTTAAAAATAAAAATATCCTTTATTTTAAAAGATCAAAATGAATTTTAGAAAGAGAAATGAAAACTGAATAAAAACAAAACTCAAAGTTCTGTTGACATAAGGTCATTTGTTGACAAGCAGGGGGTCAGGATATAGCACTTCCACTTCTCCAATTGGTTATGGGTAAAGAAATCCTTTGTTTGAGAGATTGATGTGTTGACTGAACCTTATGACCTGAAGGAAAAATGTGCGGAGTAAATTTTCTAAATTTATAATTACAGTTACCCGATTTTGAAAAAAATGCATTTTCTAGGCATTTTTTCATTTGCACTTGCCACAAAGTCAAGGAAATAGGTTGAGGGCATCACTTCCAATTATTTTTTTTTTTAAGAAAAAGATTTTTCAAATTTTTTTCTTTATAAAATAGTAAATAAATATCACACACTACTTGATTCACATATTTTTATAATCTTTATAATCTAAGTAATCATTGCCAGGGGAGTCAAAAATAATCAAGGGAATAACCATACTTTCGATACAGTGTTTTTTTTTTTTTGTACAGGCATGAAGGTTAAACATAGCATGCATATTATATATATATATATATATATATATATATATATATAAAAAGAGAAAGAACAGTAAGATATATAATCCAGTGTTGTTAATATTTTTACAAAACAGTGCTCAATGCAAATCTATCGAGCATAAATATTATAAATTTATTTATTTAAAAATATAGTTCCATCACTACACATGAATTACCATGTTTCAAAAACAGTAGCTAAAAACTTCAAATTCAATTACAGAATTAAATTAAAGTCCCTAGTTCTGTTTCATTTTCAAGCAAATTTTGGAATAATTTATTTTGAAAATTATTGAGTTTTATAAGCACATACATTCATAATATTAGTTATTATGGATACGGGGAAAACCAATCATTTTAACAAGGGGCAGTAGGGCATTCTTTTTCACCAAAATATTAGTTACTTTCATAAAGAGGTTAAGTCAAGTTAGGGTAGGGGGTGCATTTTTCAAACAAATGATAACTAATTCTATAATTGAATTTGAATTTTTTAGCTTCAGTTTTTAAAATATGGTAATTCCTGTGTAGCAATGGATCATATTTTTTAAATATATATATATATATATATATATATATATATATATATATATATATATATATAATTTTACAATTGGAATTAAGATTTCATTAGTTAATGACCATTTTCACCTACAAATTTTAAAATTCACAGGATATTTCAAACTGTTTATGGTTTGTAGAAGGAGGCTTCAAGTGCTCTTTGTGAGTCAGTTTTAACATTTAATATTTCAAATTCTATATTATGTTAATAGCACTTGCTTGGGTTATACAAATGGTTTACTACCTGAATATGTGTGTGTATATATATATATATATATATATATATATATATGTATCTATATCATACTTATTATAAAACCCAGGTTGTGTGTCTGTACGTCTATATATTGGATTTCCTACATTTTTCAACCGATTTCAACAAAACTTCACAGGACTACGTAAAATTACCTTGTGGTGGTTCTGACAGTGCCAAAAATTGGAAAAACAATTGTTTTTGCATGAAATCAATTTGAAAACACAATTAAGAGGCATTGCGAAAATGAAAGGGGGACAACTCATATCGAGTTATACTTATTATAAAACCCAGGTTGTTTGTTTGTGTGTGTGTGTTCCTTTATATATGGGATCGGATTTCCTACATTTTTCAACCGATTTCAACAAAGCTTCACTTTTTTGGGGGGCAGGTAGTGTTTCTTATTGTCTTGCAAATTTTTTTCTTTATTTTTACATTCAGAATGCTTTAAAAAAAAAAAAAAAATTCCATTTACAAGACAATTGTTTATAATAAAATTCTATTCAATCAGTAGACTCATAACAATTGTAAACATGTTTTTGTTTGAGTTTTACCAATTCGTAAAAAAAAAAAAAAAAAATAATTAAGACATGCATGTCCGTCAATCTTAAACAATAATCTTTGTGATGGTCGATACTTGATCAATCTCTTACTGTTACATCCCCGGCCTCTACTGCTAGTATATATATAAAAATGTGTATGCATGTGTGTGTGTGTGTGTGTGTGTGTATATATATATATATATATATATATATTATATAAAAATGTGTATGCATGTGTATATATATTTATTCATTTATTTATATATATAACCGTGAATTAGATATTAAGACATTGGGCTGTATAGAGATGATGGGCTCATGGTAGTGAGGAGTTCCACTAATTTTAAAATAGAGAAAATTAGAAAGATTATATATAGTGAATTTAGAAATGCAAATTTAAAAACAA